TTGTCCCCGAGCTTCAAGACTATAACATTGTACGCTTTGACTGGTCTGGCCATGGCCGCAGTTCTACCCCAACCACTACTAGCATCGACTCTTACGTGGGAGATTGTCTTGGTACGTCGGAAACTTCGTTTTGTACGGCGAGAAAATGGTGACTGACTCTTCCATCTCAGCTGCGATGGAAGAGTTGAAATTAAAGGACGTCAATGTCGTCGGTCATTCGTTAGGCGGCTTGATTGCTCTACACCTTGCTGCCAAAGTCCCTGAGCAGGTCAAAAGCCTGGTCTTGTTCGGCCCCGTCAATCCACCTCCCGAAGCAGGCCAGCAAGCACTGGGAGGCCGTGCCAAAGCTGTTAGGGAGAATGGTATCGTGGGCATCGCTGATACCGTCGTCGGCAACGCTTTTGCTCCCGAGTCGTACAAGTCCAAGAAGGGCGAAGTGGCCCTGGCTCGCGAGATGTTGACGAGACAAGATCCTGAAGGGTACGCTCTCGCTTGTGAGGCATTGGCCAAGAGCACGCCTGCTCCTTGGGATCGCATCAAGATGCCAGTTGCGGTGGTGTCGGGCAAGGAAGACAAGGTCTCGACCGTCGCGGCTGGTGAGACGACCACCAAGAATCTCGGGTCGAATGCGAAGCAGACGGTCCTCGAGAGTGTGGGACATTGGCACATGCTCGAAGCCACTGAGAGGGCGATTGAGATCATCAAGAGCACATTCGCATAGAGGGATGGAACCGGTCATTAATGTCTAATTTAGGAACCTTTCCATGAACCCAACTCGAATCGACATACGTGTTCGGTACGTACTACATATATAGAAGACTTCTATCACCCTCCTTCGCAACTTGGTACTTGGGTACTTGGTGCTTGGTACTTGAGTTAATACTTGGTATCTATTTACTACCTACATACCTAGCTAGGTATCTCCCTATTTTCCAACCCAACTGTTCCTCTTCCTCACCCTCATGATTCAACGTGATCATCATCATTATTAACGGGTTATTACTAAAAACGAGGGCCATTTCATTCCATTCCATTCGTTAAAAGCGTTTTCATGTACAAAAAGATTCCCGTGCGACACCCCTCACTCCCCCTTTCCTCTTTTTGCCGTGCAAGTATTGCTCGGGACACATTGTGAGAGAGAAAAAGTGCAGGGGCGGGAGTTCTATAGTAAGGTGGGGAGAGTTGATCCGTGTTCTGTTGAGCATGGATGCCATTTCTTTTTTTTTTTGGAATCGGGACAGAAGAAAGGAACAGGAACACCTCGAAAGAGTAGCTGTTCCACTTTCGCTTCTTTGTGGCACTGGAGGTTTCGAGCAACGAACGATCGAGCCCAAGGTCCCAAATCCAGGGCGTCTGTCTCACAGCAGGACGAACGTGAATGCCAGGCAGACGACCAGTCCCAGCCCTGGCGACCGGAGCTGCAGATCCGGCGGCGAGAGTCTCGATGCGGCCGCGGCGCCGGAGAAGGCCGAGGGGGATCCGGTCGTCGTCCCCGACGCGCCCGACGCGCCCGAGGAGGTTGAGGCGGCAACCACGGAGCCAGCCGAGACCGACTCGCCGGGCGCGACCGTCAGCGTCGTGGTGTACGTGGACGTCGTTGGCGAGGTGGGCAGGACGAGAGTGGCCCCACCGCTCGTCAGGTCGGTCCCGAAAAGCGTCGTGGTGCTGTTGTCGCTCACGGGCAAGATGATGGTCACCTGCGACCACGCGGGGCCGGACACCGTCACGTGCGAATAAGACGTGGTCAGGACTGTGGCTGTCGTGGTGTAGGACTGGGATGCCGATGTCGCAGGAGCTGACGTGGTGGGAGCGGCCGTCGAGGTTGGTGGAGTCGAGGTCGCGGTGGAGGGCACGACCGTCACGACCGAGGTGGGCTGTGTGGTCTGCGACGACGGCGGCGGCGGCGAACTCGTGGGCACCACGGTCGTCGAGAGCGTCCCGGTCAGGGTGCTGAAGCTCGACCCGGCGGCGTTGGTCGTGGTGGCCACGACCGAGGTCGAGACGACCACGGTCGAGAACTGGTCGCAGTAGTCGAGGAACTGCTGGAACTGGGGCGCGATCTGCACGAAACTGGCGCTATCGTCCGACTTGTGGTAGTCGATGCACTGCTCGCACTGCACGAGGGACACGTCGAACGCGGAGCCGGGGACGCAGAGCGCCGACGTCTTCCCGTTCGCCTGGGCCTCGAGCAGACAGTTGTTGCACCAGGGGTAGCAAGCGCCCGGGACGCTCGTCTGTGCCTGCCGCGCCGCGACGGTGGGGCTCGGCGGCAGAAGGATCGTCGTGGTGAGGGTCAGGACCTCGTTGACGACAAAGATCTCGTACGTCAGCCCAAAGTCGGTCGGGTTCATGTTGAAGTAGTCCTGGATGGCGTTGATGTGGAGTGCCGGGTCCGTGGCCGGGGTGACGTTCCCGTAGATGTCCAGGTCCCATGTCGGCAGCGGCGACGGCAACGCGTTGGCCGGGACGCACTCGTTCGGGCTGCAGTAGAAATTTCGGTCGGGAATTCCGGCCTCGAAGTTGCAGTTCTGTTGCAGAGGTTTGCAGAGCCAGCCGGGAGGACATCCCCATCTAAATTCGGGGTAACATTAGCAACGAGTCCACCAAGGACAGAAAGACAACACAGGACTAGGAAAGACCGGCAAGCTCCAGCGCTGAGACTGGCGACGATGGACCTGGTTAGTGACCACTAGGGGGGCAAACTTACGTCCAGTCGGTGGGGTACGGTCCGAGAGCGGTATAGGTTGGGTTGGCGACTCGAGTCGGACACACTGTGATGCTCGTCGCCTGGGAGGTGACCTCGTACAGCGAGATGATTTCAGTGGCTGTCTCGGTGGTGGGAGTTGTCGAGACCGTGGTCGATGTTTCCGTCAGCGTGGCCGTGGCGGTGGTAGGGCTGATGGAGACGGTGACGGACGTTTCGGTGGCGGTGGTAGGACTGATCGAGACAGTAACGGATGTTTCCGTGAGGGTGTCAGTGGCAGTCGTAGGGCTAATCGACACCGTGATGGACGTCTCGGTCAGTGTCTCAGTGGCAGTCGTAGGGCTGATGGCGACCGTGGTCGATGTTTCCGTCAGTGTGTCTGTGGTCGGGCTGACCGACACCGTGATAGACGTTTCTGTCAGCGTGTCAGTGGTCGGACTGATCGAGAGCGTTGTCGAAGTTTCAATCAATGTCGCCGTGGTCGGGGTAATCGAGACGGTGGTTTCTGTCACGACCTCGGTCTGCAAACAGTCAGCGTGTCCAGCCACTCCACTTGACAAAAGGGCACCCCCTACCGTGGTCAATATCGTGGTTGAGATGATGGTCTGGAATATGGTGATGGGGAGGGTGGTTGTGTCGTGGTAGGACGCCGTGGTGGTGGTAGTGAGCGGCACATATTCAGTTTGAGTCACACTAACGAAAACCGTCGACGGCGGCGGGCATGTGTATTCCCAAGGCTCTAACGGCGTAAGAGTGGAAGCCGGCGGAGTGTCGACGGAGGCGCTCGTCAACTGAGCGAAAACAGCGCTGATTGCGAATGACAGACTGGCCAGGCGGCCGAGCGATGGATGCATCTTTGACGGTGTTTCTCTTTCAAAGCTTTTAGAAGACGACGACAACGAGAACGACAACTATTTCCTCCTCTTCACAGCACATTCATGACGCAGCCAACCACACAGCGCGGAGCTGAAAAAGCGAATGGATTTTGGAAATGAGAGCGCGGGTTCGAAGCGAACGACAGGTAAAAAGAATAATGAAAGTTTCCAAGAGCTGCCACAACTCAGCGGTCAAAGGTAACATGCACGGGGGGCAAGAATGCGAATCGCTTCGAGAAAAGACTTGCCGTCATCATTGGAGCAAGTCCTTGGGGGACATTGATAAACAACTACCCTGGGATGGTGGACTTGAACACGCCACATGGCATCGGGCTTTTCCTTGACAACTCTGCCATTGGGGGCTGGGGAGCTGGAGGATTGGCCGGGTAATGCACGTTTGGTGACGTTCCTGGATTTACATCTGCAATTGCCCTGCCAGAAGCGGACAGTGACGTGCCAATCAATGGTCGAATCAGCCCTTTTTTTCAAAGGAAGCTCGCGTTCGGGGACTTTGCCCCGTGTTGTCTAGTCTCTTGAAAAGTGGGCAGGCAGGCAGGGTCAATGGGGATGGGCGATCCAAGGAAGAATGGGAGAATTGAGAAGTGACAGAGTGAGAAAGAGGACGTTGAAAAAGCTGGAGAAAGTTCCCGCCGGCGGTGGAGCCTCGTCCCAAGCCTTTGCCCAGGTTTCCCGCTGGTCCCACCAGCCCCACCACTTCCCACTATTCCCACTTCGGCTCTGATGTGTCTTCAAAACCGGTTTGTCGTTTGCCAGACAGCATAAGCGCACGGCACGGGTTGATCTAGCCTCGAACGTTTGTCTCTACCCAAGCACCACAAGGGTGCCATTGACAACTCACAGCGCGTGCTTTCTCATCCTTTTCCAGGGAATCCCAACGGTAGCGGTTAGCCATGCCCGGTTCCAGGCACGATTGTCCCTGATCCTCGCCCACTTGTCTCTCCTGCCCGCCGCTAGGGTCTGATATCAGAGGGCGCAGTCCAGCCGAGACCCAGCCAAACATTGAGACCATTCGCCTAGGTGACTATGACGCATCGACCCTAGCAGACAAAGTGACAGACGACCACTCCGCAACCAGTCCGTGATGGCGATAAAGACCCTGAAATGCAGTAGGGATCGAGCATCGCGAATACCGGTACAGGTGCGAAAAGCTGCTTCAACGACTGATGTAGTGATTGTCCCCTTGGTGGCAAATTTTGCTTCTGGCGATGATCGCAAAGTATCAATACGAGGTATGTCTCACTCGGAGCGTGCACATGGATTTTTCCTCGACCGAATATCGACGCTTTAGAAATCCCACACCCAAGGTAAATCTGTTTAATGCTTTGTTTGGGAGGCTCGCATTCAGTGTCTATGAACTGATGAACAGAGATGACACCGGCAATCCCGCAACATAACTCGTTATGAAACACTTTCCCAAGTCTGCGGTGCTCGGGGCGTTATTGCTTGGAGTTGCGCACGGCATATCGGTCCAGGAGAACTACACGATATGCAACTGGGCTCGTCTGAGAGCTGGAGTCATTCGTGATGCGTTGTACCTGGACGGTGGTTTGCTCTGGTGGCAAACGGCGTTTGCAGATGGCACCGCGCCGGTCGTGAGCAGTGACGGTAACGTCGAGGGGGACATGTTCGTTCTGAACTTCTCGACGCCGTTTGATACCACGAAAACGAACGTGTCAGGCTTGTTTGACCGCATGGCGAAAGCCGGCGGCGCAGGAAACAACATCGCCCCGAACTATGTCGACGGGACCATGTTCACCAATGACGGCGAACTGTATCTCTACGGGTACGCCTCCCCTTCTCCTTATTTTATCGCCTTGTGTATCATGATAGCTGACATGGTGTTCTCTCGATGACAGTGGCCTCCCCCGTCTCACCGACTCCGCTTCGCCACAGAGCGCCGAAACCGTCCTGGGATACGAAGCCTACCAATACGGTCCGGACCGAGCAAGCTGGAGTCCCGGCTTCTACCAGGGAAACCTGCCGGACGGCGTGACGAGGTACATCACCAACGGCGCGGGCGTGTCCGTGCCCGGTGAGAACCTGGGCTACTACTTCAGCGGCATGCGGTCGCCGACATGGGGCCCGATCTACTACGAAGACTCGTCGGCCAACGTGACGGCGGACACGTTGATCGAGGTAGACATGTCGGTCATGAGGAGCGAGAAGTGGACAAACACGACGCTGCCGGCCGAGATCCAGCCGCGTGCAAACGCCGAACTGGTGTGGCTGCCCGTCTCGGACAAGGGCGTGCTGGTCGCCATCGGCGGCGTGTCCGCGCCCGAGGAGATCTGGGCGTCGGGACTGAACGACTCACAGACTTCCGAGAGCGAGGCGCAGAGTCCCGGGTTCATGACCACGCTGCCCGTCTACGACATCGCCTCCAGCACCTGGTACCTGCAAAACACCACCGGCCAAGCCCCGGGCCAGCTCACCCAGTTTTGCGCCGTCGTCGCCACGGCCAAGGACTCGTCGTCGTTCAACGTCTACATCTACGGCGGCTACGACGGGCTCAACGCCGCCGACGAACCCTCAGACGACGTCTGGATCCTGTCGATCCCGTCATTTCAGTGGATCAAGGCGTACAGCGGGAACAAGGGTCACGGCCGCTCCGGACACCAGTGCGTCAGTCCGTACCCCGATCAGATGTTTGTCGTCGGCGGGGTCCATCAAAATCAGGCCAACTGCGTCGAGGGGGGCATCATCCAGATCTTCAACCTCAACAAACTCGAGTTCCAGGACGCCTACGACCCCGAGACCTGGTCGGACTACGAGGTGCCCGCGGTCGTCACCAAAGCCATAGGAGGCGACGCCCAAGGAGGCTCGACAAAAACCGCGGCTTGGTCAGACGGTGCTCTGGCCGGTATCTTTGCCAAATCGTACTCGAGACAGATCACACACTACTACCCATACCCTGTCAATGGCTCGTCGACCGGTTCGTCAGACAGCGAGCACTCAGGGGTGAGCAAAGGCACCATCATCGGCGTCAGCGTCGCCGCCGCCGTCCTCTTCGTCCTCCTCCTCATCCTCATCTTCCTCCTTGTCCGGCGCCGTCGGATCATCAACAGCGGCTCCTCCGAAAAGTCGTCGCACTCGAGCAACAGCCGGATCACGCGATGGTTGAACGGGGCTTCATGCGCCGGTGTGAGTCCGAAACGCCCACCCCACCAGATCCGTCAATCCTCCCAAACCACACCGCCAGAGGTTCAGCAAGTCGGGTATTCCTCGTTGTCTGAAGAGCCGACTCCGCCACTACAACCCGTGCGGCATGAAATGGCCAACAACACCGAACGGCCCAAGCCCCCTTACGAGCTGGCCACGCCGTACAACAATCTCGGCCACCCGCGTCACTCGGGGATCGTCGACTACGCATACAATGCTAATTTCGGCCACACGCACTCCAACTCGAACTCGAACTCACAGTCGACATCGTCCGACGAAGTCTACCGCCCGTCTCCACTAAGCAACAGCCTCAACGGCACCACTCCCGCACCCAGCAGCAACAACCACGGCAACGGCAACACCGCCACAGCCGGGGCCACCGCATCACCCCTCCGCAGCGTGCGCTTCCCCCCACCAGGCGGCACATCCGAGATCTCCAGCCCCAGCCAAGAGAACTCGAGCTCGTCGAACTACTCGTCGACGGGCACGGCCGAGACGCTGGCCTGGCCGTTCCCCGCGACCCAGAACAACTGGCGGGGAGGCGGTACCGGCCGGACGCCGCGCAACACGAACGCGACGCGGTTCCCCTTCGACCGCGAGCGCAGCAGCGAGAGCAGTTCCGTGCAGCCCATCATCGAGGAGGACGAGCAGGAAGAGCCAGGCTCGCGCCGCGAGAGCGTCGCCCACGAACTGCCCGTGGACAACGACAAGGACGATGCGCACTGGAACCAGTACCGGCACGGCAACGAGAGCGCGAGCAGCGGGATCGGGACGCTGCCGAGTCCCACGCGCGCAGCAGGCGAAGGAGGAGGAGGGTCCCTGCCGCAGGACGAGGACCGCAGGAGGAGTCTGTTTGGGACGATCAGCCCCGTGAGTCCGACGGTGGGGAGAAACTGGAAGCACTAAAACGGCAACGACAGCCCCAAAAAAGTAACGATGAGAAAACGACGATCAGTTCACGACCCCGGAAAGAGCGGCCCCTCTAGAGCAATGTACAGAAAAAAAGGGGTCACCTGCGCTCCGGCTTAATATTTGGGAATTCGACGAGGAATGAGCGACGTTCTGCTGGGTTTGTTTCGCGTGATTGACTGAGAGTCACAATGTGTTATATATTCATACATATATACATGTCTACATGGGTATCATTTCTATGTTGTAAATCAGCTGGCGATGAGGCCATCATGGCATTTTCTTCGTCAAATCCTAGCATCAGTTGATGAGTCTTGGTTCATATCCCTTGCTCCGAGCTGCTCGTACTCTCCAGAACCTCCAAGAATCCCCCAACGAGGTGCAGACTGCCTGTGACCAGCGCTGCCACCTGTTTCTCGCCATCTGTTTCGGTTGCATTCTGTCGGTAGGCATTGGCAAAGTTGCGGACGATACCGACGGCCTCTTCGATTGTCCTCACGACTTCAACCCGAGCTGAGGAATCGACACCTTTCCAAGTCTCGGCGAGATTGTTCTGAACCTTCAGTGAATCGACGTCTGACGCATTGACATTGACCGAAATGAGGTCGGGCTTGAAACCGCTGTCCTTGAATGTCGTGTTGGTGCAAAAAATAGCGTGGGTGAACGGATGTGGTTCATTGAGCGCCTTGGACAGTGTGTTGAATAGTGCCATCGCAAGGGAAGCGGCGTCGCGTGTCTGTTGATTGAAAATCAAGAAACGAGGCTGAGGGGGAAGAGGAGCTGAAGCGCCTTGGTCGGGCATAAGCTGAGAAGCGAACCACTTGCCTGCCAGCTCAATGCTTTCCAGGGTGTGGCCACCGTCAATGCACCATTTGATTCCGGTCTCGAACCGTGTCTCACATCTGCCGGGCCACCGAACGTTTTCCAATCCCTGTGTGATTTTTTGCTTGTAGTCGGGGTCATGCGCGAGCCCTTGCTGGCCCAGCCACGTTTCTGCTAGAGCCACAGCAAGACTAGCGTTCATCTTTTGAAAGTCTGCTTGGAGACCGAGCTTGATGTCGCCGCTGGCGATAGCCGGATCAACGTCCACGTACTGAAGCATACTCCCTTTCTCGCTTGCGACGTGCTCCATGACCGCTTTCGCTTCCGCAGGCTGGGTGCTCGGGGTGAAACACTTGACGCCGCTCTTCATGATTCCAGCTTTATGCCAGGCAATCTCGCCGATTGTAGAACCAAGCATGCCGACATGATCTATCCCGAGGCTCGTGACGCAAGTGACGGCTGGAGCTTCGAAGACGTTTGTGCTGTCATAAGTGCCACCAATGCCACATTCGATCACCGCAACATCAACCTTTTCCCGCATATAGGCATGGAAGGCCATCAAGGTGAGGTATCTGAAATAGACGGGTTTCGATTCCGGAGAGTGAGGGTCCTGTCCTGCTTCTTTTGCGACATTCTCCAGCCTGTCCCAGACCTCGAAGAAATATTGCGCGAATTGGCGCTCTGACAGCGGCTCCCCATTGATCTGTATGCGTTCCCGAACAAACCGAAGATGCGGAGATGTGTACAAGCCTACTTTTGACAACGACTTGGGTTCTTTCCCTCCGACGAATTGAGTGAGGATGGACGAGGTGAAGGCGGCCGTCGACCCTTTGCCCTTGGTTCCGGCGATGTGTATGACCTTTAACGCATTGAAGTCTGAGGGCTAAGGCAAGCGAGGGTTAGTTAGTTGGGCAGTTCTGGCAAGCTCTGGTCGTCGCGTACTTCGTATCCAATCTTGCGGCACCATTCCACCATTTCCGGGATCGACAGCTCATTCAGCCTGCCTCCGGACTTGCGGACGGCGTCGACAATCGCAAAATTCGACTGAAGGGTGTTCAGCGAGGTCACGGCATCCTGTCGAGTGGTCAGTTGTGTGCGTGAAATGCATTGCTGCTCGTGACAACTCACAGCGTATGTCCGTGCCATGACGGAAGACTTGGTCGCAGAGCTGCGAACAATGAGACGGAGAGGCGTGGAAGACTTGAGGATCCATCTCCTCATCCTAGAACAGGCGTGAACGAGCGTCAGCGGTTCCTGCGACCGACCCGAAGTGGAAATATTCTCTGGCGGGAGCCGAAACAAGCATTTTGCGTCAATGTCCGTCCTGGAGCCCCGTAAGCTGGTGTATGGCGGAGCATTATGGTTCCCTAATGAAGAGACTTTGTTTGTCAAGCAACGTATGTAATAATAGGCCATGCAACCTGGCGGCGGTCCTGGTGGTGCCTGGGCAGATACGGCCTGACACACCCGTTATCTCAAGACGCTCAGTGATGACTTTTATCGAGGGTTTCTATATCGCTTCTCCCAATGACGATATAGATCGAGACAATAGCAAGTCACAATAATGGGTCAATCACATTCCTCGCCACCGCCGAGAGAGATCCCAGTCGGTGAGTGAAACCAATCTAACCAGCGACAACGACCCTTTTCTCCGGGTTCTGTCAGTTGTAGACTCACTTCGTCCAGAGCAATTGAGCCATGAGTTGGCCCTCCGCTTTGCCTCCAAATGCTACACCCATCTGGAGATAGCGCACTACAAGGACAACTTCAAGACCTTGGCAGATCACCAGGAAGACGTCGAGTACTGGAAGGAAGACACGTTATGCGGCTTCCTCGCCCTGCCGGAGCCTCTCAAGGCTGGGCCCGTGTTGTATCACATGTGTACATATCTTGGGGCATTTCCATTCCCCAGTCTAGCGCCGTGCATATTGACCAGAGAGGCCATGCTGAAGGTCATCACCATCATGACGGGTAGGTACAAGAAGGTCCTGAGACGAGGCGACCAGGACAAGATCAAACTGTTGTTTCGCAGCCTGGCCGTTTTCGACCGGCGCCACAGCGTGACCTCGCCGAAGGAGAGGCCGGATATGGACGAGATTGTGATAGAGCAGCTTCCCGAGGACATGTTGAGGGAGCGCGAAGTCGAGAGGGGTGTGAGCTCCCACGTCGGCGGGTTCGCCATTGACGAGCCCGTGAATGACGATGAGGAGGAAGACGATGACGACCTTGCGCTGGCTGCGCTCGACTCGCTCGACGCCATCGAAGTGTTCAAGCATGACCAGAAGACCAACCGCAAGATCAACCACGCGATGATTCCTGTGGAGAACCTCAAGAAACTCATCACTTTCTTGCTGCTCGTTGCCGGCGTCACACCCTTGACCACACTGGCCACCTACGGCGAACGCCTGGACGCAGAGCGTCTGCAGGCCTTAAACACGTCAGCGGATGCCATCGTGGCGGCCTTCGACCCCGAGCCTCAGAGCAGAGGAATCCGGTACTCCAACTTCGTCAAGACCGTCACCACGACGTTGCCCGATCTATTCGAGCCTCTCAATGCCCTGTTCGAGCATTTTCTGTTCAGCAAGAACTTCAACCTCAACAAACACCGTGACCCTGCGCCAGCAGCCGTTGACACGGTCGAGGCCATACCGTCATCACCCATCTACAAATCTCCCGAAGACACCACCTTCAGCACCATCTTCACCGACACCCTCCTCGCCCAGTTGTCCATGTCCCTCCAAGTATCCACGTCTGTCTCGTCGAGCTCCTCCCTCAAGAACATCTTCGCCTCCAACGCCCGCTTCAACCAGCTCTATGCGACCTCGTCCCACGGCACGTCCCTGTCCTCCTTCTCCCGCCAAGTCCACTCGTGGCAGTCTTCGACGCTGGTCCTGATATCCGGCACGCTCCCCGACACAAACAACCCCATCATCATCGGGGCATACCTCCCCGAACCGTGGCGCGAGAAGCCAGCACCCCCGTCATCCTCCTCCACCTCTAGTGACAGCCCGTCCAGGGCGTCCTGCCTCTTCCAGCTCCTGCCGCGGCACTGCGTCTTCCTCGCGAACCAGTACAACCGCAGCATCCCCTTTTCATATTTCAACGCGAAAACGGGCATCGCGCTAGGCTGCGTCATCCCGCCACAGCAGTCTCGGACGGGCCCGCCCCTGCCGCCGATCTTGGGACCGGTCAGCGTCCTGATCGACAGCGACATGTCGACGTGCACGTTCCAGCACGACGGGGACGGCGGGGCCGGGGCGTTCATGACGGACCCGGGCCTGGAGACGGCGCAGAAACACCATCCCGAAACCACGCAGCCCAAAAGGGCCGAGTTTGACCTCGACACGCTCGAGGTGTGGGGGATCTCCTTCCCGCTGGCCCGCACGGGCTCGCTCTCGGACAACGCGGGGGAAGACGACGAGGTGGCCAAGCAGAGGAAACGGCTCGCGTGGGAGGAGGCCGAAGCCGCGCGCCGCAGGGGGGTCAACTTTGGAGGGGACAAGGACGGCGCGAGGGCCCTGTTGGAGATGGCCGGCCTGGTCGGGGACAAGGCTGGGAACAGGAGCGGCGGATCTGTGTAAAAGGATGAAGGATGAGAATGGCTGTATCCATGGGCACGACAGGGGACACACACGCGAAAAAGTAATGGAAAAGGATGGAGTTGCGCGGGCTGGACAAAGGGTCTCGAAACAAAACTGTATCTCTAGGCCATTAGAGCACTGTGCTTGATAAAAGCAAAACGCCACACACACCCCTTGATCACCGACAACCTGTGTTCCCAGAAACGCCTGTGGGCACTGCCTGGCAAAGTATATCGCGATGATGGAAGTCGGCGGATGGTCTTCGAGTCGGGGGAAAGGGTTTCTCACGGGACGCCTTTGTCCACACAGCCTCATCGAATTAGTCCTGTTGGAATCTGACCTGTCGGTAGCAAAAACCCCCAGTGTCGAATGTGCTGTGAGATGGTTGGTCTCGACTAGGCTAGCATTTGCAAAATCCAGATTCCTCTCCATCCAGCATCCGCGCCCTAAATTGGGCCCCCACGCGATACTTTCCTGTCTTGCGCCTGCTAGATTAAAACCTTTGGAAGACGGACACAAAATAATCTCAAGAGAACGGCCACTTGGCGGCTGCTTGGGCAATCAACACTGGCAATTCCCAGCGCCCTGCGTCCCAGTCGATTCCGGCCTCAAATCCACACCTGGTCGGGGAGTCGCCCTCAGATTCCTGGGCCCCGCCTGGTCAAGGGGCAGTTTCTTTGCGATGGCGGTGAATAACTCCTTGACGTTTGTGGACGTCTTTGCGGATGTTTCAAAAAAGAGCAGGCCGGCTTCTTTGGCATATGCTTCGGCGTCGGCGGTCTGAATGGCCCGCTTATCAGGGTACTCGTCAACGATGTCGAGTTTGTTCCCAGCAAGGGCGATGATGATGTTTTCGTTGGCCTGTCTCTGGAGTTCCTTGACCCATGACTTGGCCTTATCTAGAGATGACTGTCAAGCACGATTAGTAGGCGTTCAATCGTTTCGAGGACAGCAGGGAGCATGTACAGCCTGGGTAATATCGTAAACGACCACGGCGCAGTTTGCATTCCTGTAGTACATCGGCGCCAGGGATTTGTATCGCTCTTGGCCGGCGGTATCCCATATCTCGAATTTGACCGTCGTGTTCTCGTCTAAAGATATCGTCTGCGTGAGGAATGCGGCGCCGATGGTGGATTCGCGGTAGTCGTCGAACTGGTCTTTGACGAACCGGAGGACTAACGAGCTCTGCGGAAAGGAGGATCTGTTAGGATGGAAATGGTTCGCAAGGGAAACGCCGGAGTTGGTTGGCAAAGTACCTTTCCTACTGCCGATTCACCTGTATGGCATTAATTAGTCGCTCGCGAGTGCAGGGCTGTCCTCAACATACCGAGAAGGACGAGCTTGAATTGGGCGAATCTGCCGCCTGCGCCTGGTCGGCCTGCGGGAGCTCGAGCGGCCATGATCGGGCTGTGGTTGATATTTGCCTAGCGGTCGCGTGTACAACAGGCCTCAAAAGGTCGGCCTCGGACTAGGGTAAGGATTGAAGAAGAATTTGGTACGTTTGATGATTGTCTGGCTGGTGGTGTCGTTACCTTGCAGTTCGAAAGTTCGGGACAGTTGGGGAGATCCTGAGAGATTCTGGGCCAAGAAGATGACGGAAGGCAGCCAAATCACCGCCACAAACAGCGCGGGCAACGGTTACGCAGCCTCTCCCTCTTTCACGATTTCTCGATCTCTCAACTCTTATCCTACTGTCGAATCATGATACGATAACAAGGATCCCACAAGGCCTTTTCGCGACCTCCCTCGAGCCTTTTCGCAATGGCTAACTTGCTGCCCTTTCGAGACATCAATGTCCACGCTTCCACCAGCCACTATGCATTCACCTCCCCTTCCAACTCCTCTGCGCCCACCCTGGTGGTGGAGAGGCCGTCGGGGGACATTCGACTGAACGATGGATCTCTCCTGGGGGCAAAACGAGTGACGAGTGTCGCTGGGATTTTGGGCATCATCAAACTGAAGCTGGACAAATATATCATTATCATCACCAAAGCACAACCCATGGGCAGACTGCGTGGCCATATGGTCTATAAGGTGGTCGCTACAGAATTTCTCCCTTTGCGGGAACGACCCGTCCGAGACCCCGATGAAGATACCTACCTCTCCTACCTTAAGGCGTTGCTTAGCTCGAGTCCCATGTACTTTTCCTACTCGATTGATATCACGTCCAGCTTCCAGCGCCAGTCCGAGTCGGATCTCTCGCAGCCGATGTGGAAGAGAGCAGATGATCGCTTCTTTTGGAACAGATTCGTTCAGACAGACCTCATCGACTTCAGACTGGGAGGGTTGCGAGGACAACAACAACCTGGGGCCGATCCATATATTCTCCCGGTCATGCATGGCATGTTGCGTATCACACCGGCCAAGATCAAGAACACTCCATTCACTTTCGCCCTTATCACTAGAAGATCTAGATTTCGCGGTGGGACAAGATACTTCTCTCGGGGCGTTGATGAGGACGGGCATGTAGCAAACTTCAACGAGACGGAGCAGATTGCTTTGCTCAACGATGCGTCGGGCCCCGTGGGCTACTCCGGTGGACAACGTATGCAGAACGGAATTGCC